AAATAAACTACTACTGAATCAAAAATGCATGAGTTGTGCACATGATGTGCACAGGCAGAAGCTGTCACTATGTGGAAGCTCCATCATCGGCTCCATGCAGCCACAAGGAACCTGGAAACAAGCAGTGCTCCATATTACCTTCCAAAGGTGATGCTTACAGGGAAGGCATCACATATGGTCTCAGCAACAAGAGGGAGAGATGCCAGAGGTGCTTTGAAATGCAGTAACAAAAAACCCGACAAACATAATTCCTGTACATCTACTGGTCACTGTTGGAATCACAGAATCTCAGAATGGTTTGGGATGAAAAGGACCTTACAGACCATCTCGTTCCACCCCCTACCATAGGCAGGGACACCTTCCACTGTCCCAGGTTGCTCCAAGCCCTGTCCAACCTGACCCTCAACACTTCCAGGGATGGGGCGGCCACAGTTTCTCTGGTCAGCCTGGGCCAGGGCCTCACCACCCTCACAGGGAACAATTTTTTTCCAGTGTCTCACCTAACCTTGCCTCTGGCAGTGGGAAGCTATTCCCCCTTGTCCTGTCCCTCCAGGCCCTTGTCTGAAGTCCCTTTCCAGCTCTCCTGGAGCCCCTTTAGACACTGGAAAGGCCTCTCAGGTCTCCCTGGAGCTTCTCTTCTCCAGGTGAACACCCCCAGCTCTCCCAGCCTGGCTCCAGAGCAGAGGGGCTCCAGCCTTCAAAGTATCTCCCTGGACTCACCCCAGAAGCTTCTGAAGAGATGAGATTCTTCTAACCTGGAATCAGCCTTGAAACAAACAAACCATTCTTGCTATCCATAAGCAAACAGAGCCCACAAGACAAGACCAAAGAAATCACTAAGACCTTGGTGTGCCACCAGTAGGATTTGGTTGCTACAGGGCTCCTGCAAGCCTTGGGAACTTCCTTATTCACCCCAAACCAAGCAGAAGAGTCCTGCTGGGTGAGCAGAAGGCACTTCAAGCAAAGCCAAAGCTTTGTCCTTTGGTACCAACTGCCCAGGAAACAGGAGCATCCTGGGAGCCAGGAGCTGGCTCTGTCTGATCATGGCCAAATAACTCAGTTTACTCCACAAACTTTGAGCACTGGAGACAAATGCCAAGCTCGGGTGACTGATCCAACACTGGAAACATGCTGGAGACTTGAACTGCTTCCAGCAGCACTTGGAGATGTAAAAGCATCTGGCCAAGTTGGAGGGGGAGCTCCTCTTGTCCTTAAGGTCTGGAAGCAGCAGATTCAAGTCACCATACAAAGCCTCAGAGCAAGGGGAAGCTCAGCAGACAAGGAACCATCCTTTGGGAGGAGGAAACACCTGGAACAGCCAGTCCTCAAGGAGGGTCACAGAGCAAGAGCCTAATTCTGGGGAATGCCCATCACCCTTGGACTGTGCTCCTCATGTCCATGCACAGGTAGGTATTACCCAGGAAGGAAAAAAATCAGGACTGACTGTGCTATCACCAGCAAAGTGAGATCCTGGTGAGGATGTGAGCGCAGGCCAGGATGAATCCCATCAGGATGCTGGTGCATGCTCAAGTTGGTTATAGGACAAAGAGCAAACATGAAACAGTTCAGTATGACACCGTAGAGGATTGATGACAGGAACACAACCTGTTTGCACAGAGATTGTTAAAACTATTCCAATTATCGTGGTGAGCAAATGGATCATATCCCAGACTGCTAAAACCTAAAGGAATTCTCGTCCTTCCCTGGGACACCCTACAGACCAACCATCAGGTCTCTGACTCCGTGCCCGCGCTTTGCTCTGTTCTGTTCCGCTGCCCACACCAAGGTAAAGCACTGAGACACTATTTTGGGTTATTAAATATTTAATTCCACAGTGAGACAGACGAAGCCAGCAGATGGTCACTGTGCAGCAGGGCCTCACTCGACTTCTGGGGGGCAGAAAAGTTCAAGGAAGAATCATGGAAAACAATAAGCAAACATTCCTCCTCTTAAAGGGGCAGGAAAGGGAATTATAGGGGAGCTGTTAATTTCTCTTAATACAGGGAAGCACTGAAATATCAGAGACAGCACCAATCACCCTCACAAGCACATCAGAGACGTCTTAGTTGATTACTCCTGACCCAGGACTATCTCCAGTAGCTTCTTCTGAATCCAGTGGATACATCCAGCAGTATTGAGTTGATTTGAGAAGCATCAAAAAGAGCCACATTCCTATAGATTAGATCCCTTTATCAAACCTTTCCCTCCTCCAGTATAACTTGATCTAGTGTGAAACACCTTAAGATGTCTGAGACACACGAAATCCAGTCTGCTCCCTGGCTAATCCAAGATGACTCGTGATGCTCATCCAAGCCACGTGGCAGGCGGAGAAGCTGGTGCTGCTGGGAAGGAACAGATGCAGCTTTGGTGCCTTGTCAGAGAGCCTTTGAACATCGATGCTGATGGAGCACGTGGCACAGGAAGCCACAGAGTTGCTGCTGAATTCAGGAAGAGGCAGCTCCCACAGCTTCCTCTGTTCACGCGGAAACATCTCACACGGAAGCTCATCCAGGATTTCTCTTCTGAATCATTGGGCTATTTGCAACTGCACCAAGGGAAATGCAAAACTAGACTGAATAGCTTAGAAAAAGGAAAAAAAGAAGACTAATTTCACTAGTATTGGTTAATGTCAAGTGAAGCAGGTAACTGATACCCACATTCATCCTTCAGGCTTTCATCCATGGCCAAGTACGTCCCTTCCAAACTGAGTTTTCCTACAATTACTATCCAAGAGCAATGCGCTTAAAAAAATGTTTATTCTGAGTATTCAAGAAGAAGGAAATCACTACTAAACCCCTTCTCATTAGGAAGAAAACCCCATTCTTCTCCAAATGCTGCAGGTGATGACAATTGTGACGTCTCAGAGACGCCGCTCACCGAGACCATCTGGTCGCACACGCGGTTGAAGGCAGCAGTTGTGTTGATGAGAGGACCAGGCTGGCACCGCGGCACCACAGCAGAGCTCTCACCAGCCTCGCTTCTTCAGCGAGCGGTGGGAGGTTCACAGTGTGCCACGTCATTTGGCAGGATTAATTGGCTAATTTATTGAGCAGTGTGTCACATGGAACGCTCCTGTTGTTCTCCTCTGACTCATGCACACCATGGGTTTGGACACTTTCAGTCTTCATTTGGCGAGTGCACGATAATTCCAAGTAACCAGACGAACCTACTGGAAGTTCAAGACTGTTTGAGCAGTTTTGAAGCAAGGACCATTTAGGGGAGCCTAGGGTTACCAACATCACTGGGAACAGACCACTCCATTTCCCCAAAGTCAGCACATATTTAGCTCCAATCTGTTCATACAGACAGACACTCTTCCCCTGACCCTCCACATGCCGTGCAGACACTGAGTCAAGGCTCCTGCTCCTGGCAGCCTGACTCCACCAAAATTTATTTTGGTGGGACTCCAGGTTTCATGGTGAGCCCAGAGCTGTGGTTCACATCGCCCAACCTCCTGGTCCATTTCCAGGTGTTTTAGCAAAACTGTAGCGCAAGAGCTTCTGATGGCATACAACAGCTTCCGAGAGCTGGGCATGCAGTGCCCGTGGGACCACACAGAGATAGAAATAGTCAGGTTGTTCATGAGGCTTCTCAACAGTCTCTTGATAAAATGCTAGACGACGGTAGATTAGAGATTGGGAAGAAATTCTTCCCTGTCAGGGTGGTGATGCCCTGGCAGAGGTTGCCCAGAGAAGCTGTGGCTGCCCCATCCCCAGATGTGTTCAAGGCCAGGTTGAATGGGGCTTGGAGCAACCTGGGATAGTGGAAGGTGTCCCTGCCCATGGCAGTGGAGGGATGAGTTTTAAGGTCCCCTCCAACCCAAAGTACTCCATGATTCCACATATGTCCTAAATGGGTGAGCATTACAGGACAGAAGGTTTATATTCATTAGGAACAGGAGAAAACCCATTAAAAATACTTTATCTAACCAAAAGAAAGCCAAGTCCTGAACTTTTGATCAGTTTTAGAATTCCTCAATAACATCTTTAAAGAGTGGTAGGAAGCCAACTGGCACAGGAAAAACAGGTTGGGATTCATCCATGTGTCACAAGACACATGGGCCAGGCTATCCCAGAGATCACAAGCCCCAACAGAACTCAAGCAGGGAGTTCAAATTAGTATTTCGATAATATATTATTACCAAAGTATTTTTGGATATCCACTGTACATCCTCTGCCAGTGGAAGCTGGGTCCATTCAGGGAAAATAGGAAGAATAAAGTCGAGGAAAGTGTAAAAAAATTACAGCAACGGCAGAAACTTGGCAAAGCCCAAAGTCAATATATGATCAAGGCACAGAAGAAGCAGAGAAGGTCTTTGGTTCACTTCTTTGTGCAGTGGGAAGGCTATGGAAATCCTTGGCATGGGAAACAGCACATGATAAAAGGCACTTCAGGTTTAAAAAGCAACCATAAATTCACGGAACAAGAATCCAAACACTATTAGACACAACTCAAGTCCTGTATTAGGGAAATCAGAAACTGCCAGAAAAAGAGGAATAAAAACCCTCCACCTTTGGCTTATCCTGTTCTATTTTTCTCCTGTTTGTTGTAGACTATGGTCACACAGAAGATACCGAGCCCAGGTCACTCTTATGATTTAGTAAATACCAACGAAAACAGTATTTCAGGTTTTTATTAGGAAAGCTTTCTGCTTCCTACATAATTTCCTAGATTTTAAGACTTTTTATCACCTTATAAGGTCACTCTATAAGCAAATAACCTTCCATCCATTGATAGACCCAATGTTTTACAAACACACTCACATGGGTATTTCCCAGATCAGTAAATCCTCACTAACTCGAGGTTTTAGGTCCACACAATGAGCCAGTATCATCATGATGATCTTATTCTCACCCAAATCTCTTCCAAAAATTGTGTGAGGCTGAAAGAATTTGCCCGGATGAATAAGTTCAAGTCAGAGTTAGATAACAAATATGATGGTGACGTTTGATTTAATAAAAAAAAATCCCTCTTGATAAGCTTAAGGTAGGTTTACTCACCTGCACTTCCAAGTTGTTTATAAAATCTGTATTCTAAATGAAGTTGTGGTGCCCGGGATTTAATTGGTTCCTAAGACAGAGATAAAGAAATTGGTTAAAATCAATTTGACTGAAAGAAAGTTCGATCCAATACTTGAAAATTTGTTACTGTGCATAATTAAAATGCTCTAGACTGAAAGTCCAACAACAGACTTCACCATTACAGGTCATTTAAATAAGAAGAGAACAAAAAGCAGTAAGATTTGCTCTCTCGAGGAGAAATAACCTCCTCATTTAAATATAAAGCTCACTCACAGCAGTGACATTCAAGAATCATTCCACAAAGCTCCTGGTCCTTGAAGAACGACCCTGGCCATTGGCAGAGGGAAGTCAAGGTTGCAAAGGCTCGAGCCCAAGTTCACTTTGTGGTCGCTGTGGTTGCCCAGAGGGTTTTTTGTTGGTCATCAGCCTGTATTTTTGAGAAATGTTGAGTCATGTGTGTGTTTTAGGTCAGCCCACAGCCGCTTGCAGCAAGGACCACAACGCAGCCAGACAGTGGGTAAAAGGAACAAGCCTCCCCACCCAGTGGCAGGTGTCAGTCAAACATCTCAAAGCACTCAAGAATATTCTATTTTTATGCACAGAATAAAAAAAAAAAATCAAATGGCTAAGTCTGCAATGCACCCAAACCATTCCATTTGTCAACTGTTACTCATCTGTGCTTTACGCACACGACTTAATGCCCACGATCCATCAAGGCATTAACGTGCAAGATTACAGGGCTTCTAAAAATATAAAGTTAATATGGAGAGGATTAAGAGACTGGAGTAATTACATTTGCAATAAAACTGTGCACTTGGGACAGGCAGAGATGCAGGTTCACCGACTGCCAGGGCAGCTTTGAGATAGAAGTTAACATTGGCCTCGATTTCCGCTGACCTCTGATCTGCACTGTAAGACTAATGTCCACATTGGGTGTGAACTCCATGTTAAACACTTTTTTTGAAGTGGGAAGTAGGATTTTTGTCCAGGAATTCAGGCAATTTGACTTCCAGCTGAGCTGTTCCTCACCAGCTCAAGTCATCCATCATTTGTTCCCAGCAAGGGGAACAAATGCTCCTGGTTGTTTAACAACTAATCATAGAATCACTGGGGTTAGAAAAGACCTCCAATGTCATCAAATCCAACGTTCCTGATGTTTAAAAGCTTAAGAAGTCAATTATCACAGAATCACAGAATTTGATGAGTTAGAAAGGACCCACAAGGATCATCGAGTTCAATTCCTGGCCCTGCACAGGACCATCCCCAAGAGTCCCACCACATGTCCCAGAGTATTGTCAAAACACTCCCTGAGCTCTGTCAGCCTTGATGCTGTGACCACTGCCCTGGGGAGCCTGTTCAGTGCCTGACCACCCTCTGGGGGAAGAACCTTTTTCTAATATCCAACCTAAATCTCCCCTGACACAACTTCAGGCCATTCCCTGGGGTCCTGTCACTGGTCACCCCTGAGAAGAGATGACCAACTACCTCAAAAACAATGAGGAAAAATATTCTGAAGGCAAAATTGAACCTGCACTGAAGGCAAATATAAAGCAACAGACAAACTAGTTTGTTATGTAAGTCACATTTAAATTAAGATAATTGCTACTGGTGGCTTGAGGGAAAGTCTACAGACACCTGAAGAGTGCAGGGATTCAGGGCAACAGGAACTCAGTCTGTTCAGGGAATAGTTTATTTATCCCAATGAAAAGGTGGAAGGATTGATGTAGCAGGATGTGATGCTGCTCATGACGTAATCAGGGAAGGAGTCCCGAGCCACTGCTGCAGCAGGAGCTGCTGGAGCCTGAGCTCAGGACGTTTGCCAGAGTTGTGGCAGCTTCCGAGAAGATCATACCAGAACAGATGGTTGTCCTGTAGACCAAGGGCTTAGGGATGCTGGCAGATGTCGTGTTTGCAGCAAAAATAACCGAACTGCTGCTGTCCAATGGCGAAAATCCACAGCTTGAACCAATGGTGCCACTGTCACTACGAGAGGGTGCAGTCTGGTACTGCGCCCAGGCTACAGCTGAACGTCACCAGGCTGACCTCCTCCAGGGAAGGAATTCCTACCATATGCAATCCAGCTTTGAAAACCCTTGGAAGATTAAACCAGATGCCCTTGACCTCAGCTTGAACTCAGTTGAAGAGCAGGACCAGGAGCTATACAGTGACATCACAGAAGGCAGAACACAGGAACTCATCTCCACTGCCAGCAATTTTCCAAGGTGCAGTCTCAACCCCAAAAAGAAACCTAAACCCCACAAAAGAAACCTCATTTTCCAGCTTTAACATCATGGCAGGAGGCAGGAATAGCTGAGACAGCAGGGCTGAAGGGGCAGAAGAGAATCTCACAGCCAGAAGGACTTGGAGCAGAGCTCTGACTTGGTCCAACAATGCAGATTAAAGAAAACATTGCCTACAAGTACATCAAAAGCAGCTACTCCACCACTAATCCAGGAATTATTTGAAGGATAAAGGAAATTGCAGTTAAGTCCACATGTAAGAGCAGCATATTTGCTGCTGACAAGGCTGAGTAATTCCTACCCCTGAGGAATCTTCTCTAAGATTAGGAGACCAAGGAACCCCCACCTTTTCTACTGTTCCCTCATAAAAATTCTCCAAAACAGAGCAGGTATGTGAACACCTGGATGGTCATCAGATGGTAATTCCAGCCCTTCACACAGGAAGGATCAGAGATCTTTAAGCTTGAATCACAACAGGGCAAATAAAACTGAAATGTGTTGCAGAGTAACTGCAAATAACTCAGTTATTTGGGGGGACACAAAAGAAAAGAAGAGGAAAGAATGCGACCAGAAAAATAGGTCAGATTAAGGCAGCCTGAGGCAATGCCATGGAGCCATATGGCTGTGGAAAGGCTTCAGGTTGCTGGGAGGTGTCACTGCAGGCACTTTTTTGAAAGAAAAAAAGACTTTGGAGTAGTCCAGCTGTGTTTTACCTGGACTATTACTTCCTTATGGTTTTCAATGCGATAACTTTGGAGGAGTATCTTTGAAAGCAAATTAGGAGCGTTATTAACTGAATAAAACACCTTGTCTGTGTACACAGCACATCTTCTATTGCTTAAAAACCAACAGTCCTCCTTCCTCATGGGGATCCATATCATGGGCATCCCCTATGGAGACAGGCTGGGAGAGCTGGGGGTGTTCAGCTGGAGAAGAGAAGGCTCCAGGGAGACGTTAGAGCCCCTTCCAGTGCCTAAAGAGGCTCCAAGAAAGATGGAGAGGGACTTTGGACAAGGGATGGAGGGACAGGACAAAGGGTAATGGCTTCCCAGTGCCAGAGGGCAGGGTTAGATGGGATATTGGGAAGAAATTGTTGGCTGTGAAGGTGGGGAGGCCCTGGCACACGTTGCCCAGAGCAGCTGTGGCTGCCCCATCCCTGGAAGTGTTCAACACCAGGTTGGATGGGGCTTGGAACAACCTGGGCTAGTGGAAGGTGTCCCTGCTCATGGCAGGAGGTGGAACTGGATGATCTTTAACTGTTCCTTCCAACCCAAACCATCCTGCAGTTCTGATCCTAAACTCCACTGCAGGTGTTTATTTATTTACTTTGGGGAATATCCTCTGACATTTGCCAACAGTCTCAAAAACAAGTCTCACCTGCAAAGCCCTGATTATTTTTCATCGACTGTGCATCATAAGGAGAATGCCAGAGATATGGAATCTGTGGCACTCAAACGTGATCACAATTAATGCACCACATCCATCTTGGTCTTCTGTAACTGGAGTGATTCCTGTCATTTTGCCAGACAGCATCACCAGGACAAACAGGCAGGTTTGCTGCCAGTATCAAGCTAGAATCACAACTTTCACTGCAGGTTTTAGGGTTTGGATCATGATTAAAGAGCATTCGGGTGAGAAGAGAGAACATCAGCTGAAGAAATTGAATCTGAAAACTTCCAGGGACCAAGGAAACTCTTAGTTTATAGACAGGAAAAGTTAAGGCATAAACACAAACTATTGGGCTGTGAGTTTATAAATCTTCAAGTGTTACAAGTTAGGGAGTTCCCCATCCCCCAGATATCACAGATGATGTGATTGTATCTCCTGGCCACACACAGAAGCCAAAGACTGACCTTCACCAAACTGAATCTTGTTTTGCCTGTTGCACCTGCAGCCTCTCGGCATCGTACCAGACCGAGCTGTGCCCTACTCCCCAAGGGTATCTGAACCACAGAAACTCCCTCTTTCCTGTCTCTCGACTCCAAAGACACGAGCAGCAGGCTGTACTATGCCAGGTTCCTGACCAAATGCTCTGACAACTGGAGAATCCCTGGAGTCCTGAACAGAAAGGCTCAAGCTATGGAGCAGAAAGAGGTGGCAAACCCACCCTCAGTGCTCTTCACTCGCTGCTGTAGGACAGCTACAGACCAGTTAGATACCAAAAGCGCTCAGCAAGGGGAAGGATGGGTTCTTCCCTTGCTTTTAGTGTTCTTAAGAATTTATGTTAGCTTTAATAAGTCATTCTAGCTGAGGGTGAGAGCAGCACTGAGTCTGAAGTGAGAAATTTCCTTTTGTTCTGAATTTTTAACATGAAGTACAAGTCATTTAAGGACACCTGAAGCTTCTACTCACCAGTTTGATCGCTACATATTCATTGGTGTAGAGATTTTTACCTGTAAGGAGAGAAGAAAAAAATCTTTTAGTTCCACATTCAGCACTCACAGCTCGAGGCACAATAAGGAAGAGTGTCACTGCTGCCAAAGGGCTGTTTTTGCAGTTCCCCACAATGCCTTTAACAAAGTGTAAGCCTCAAAATAATCAGTTGCAGCAGTTCAGCAGGGCGGCAAACACCACCTTCCCCTCAGCACAAGGGAATTGTGTTTTAGGGCAGCACTTATGCTCTGTGCACACCTTAGAGGAGGTATCCCAGAGACATGGGGTTTTATTATCTACACCATGCCAAAGACATCTGGGGAACAAAAAGCTGAAGAGACAGAGCATCATTTCTTTTGGAAGTGTCTTGGATCTGTTGGACACATAACAATTTCATCCTGGAATCTCTAGGGAGTTTCACCAGGTTAATCATGCTCTGGGAAGCACGAAGGAGCGTAGGATGAGCACAACCAGCTGAGCACACGTCCAGCTCAGCCAGAGCTCTGGAATCCGTGTGTGCTACAGCTGGAGGGGAATTTTTCCTCCAGGAGCCTGTCTGGTGTTTGAAGGGAGCCCTTGCCCCCCTCAGCGACCCGTGGCAGCAATGCACAGCTACATGTGTCACAGAGCATCTCTCCATGTGCTCTGACGCTGCCAGTTACAGTATCACTCAATGTCCTCCAGTTCCTCTGCCAGGGAATCTGAGCAATCACCTCCCCTTCACCTCCACATTGCTCATGCCTGACAGCAAACTCTCCAGTCCCCCCACTGGGGAAGGACACTCAGGCAGGCCTTGGATCTGCTCTGTCCCACCACGCTGGCACCCTCTACCTTTCTGACCTCCTCTGGTCCCACTGTCCCCTTTGAGGAGGGCAGCCCCCAACACAAAAAGCTCCCCATGAATTTAGCCAGGGAAGCATTGACCTTTGCTCATCACTGCTTAGCGCTGCCACAGCATGTCATGCTTCCATTCAGCAACTGTAGCTCTAAAATACAGAAGCAATCCAGGCTGGAAGTTATCAGCATTTATTTGTAGCATCAGCCCGGTTGTGTTACACACTTATTTTCCAATTCCTATCATGGATATTGATGCTTTGCACAGCCCAGCTCTTGAGAAAGCCCAGGACAGGGAGTGACATCCTTCAGAGCAGGCAGGAGCAGCTCTGCCATATCCACATGGCAGCATTAAAACCATGCCATGTCCTCCTCAGCACACAGATACAAGACAACAGCACTGGGAGATTCAATCAAATTAAAGACATTACGAACATGAGAGAAGACAGACAGTTGTTTTTAAATCCTGAAATATCAAGGGAAATTTAGTTTACTTTATAACAGCTTCATGTTTTCTACATTTCACTTCTTTTGATGCTTTCCCCGCTGTATCTCTCAGGGTAGTTCTGGCCTCTAAATTTGGGATTAGGTGTTCCCAGGCTCAGCCTGCACCAAGCATACTGCATTAACATCCATCAGGAAAGCAAAATTTTATAGCTCCAACCTGTTCTGATAACTGGTGATGCAGTTTAACACAGGGCAGGCATTTAAATGCGAGGTTAAATATCCTCAGGGAGGTGTTTCTGCAGGCAGAGGTGAAAGCTGAGCCCCAGCACTAACCCCTGACACACAGGATGCTTTCCATCTATTTCTTTCCAGTAAAAGACATAATATTATGCCCAGACTGGAAACAAAGTGTAGAAAGGAGGTTTTGTAGTTTCATTGGGAATACTCAGACACTGGAAAGCACTGAGGGGCTAAAAGGCCAAACTGCTGGAAAAGGAGATGGCAGATGAACTGCTTCACCCTCTGAGACAGACCTGGGCTGCAGTAATGGCTGAAGGCGAGAAGACGTGAGGACATTGAGGGAAGGCAGCCTAAAACCACCTGGAATACCTGCTCTGTGTGAGGGACTAGAGAATGAGCCCCACTGGCAGCTGAAGCTGTAGCTCCTCCCCCTTCCCGATGGAGCTCCAACCAACACCACAGAATGGTTTGGAAGGGACAGTTAAAGATTGCCCAGTTCCACCCCCTGTCACTGGCAGGGACACCTTCCACTAGACCAGGTTTCTCCAAGCCCCGTCCAACCTGACCTTCAACACTCCCAGGGATGGAGCAGCCACAGCTTCTCTGGACAACCTGGGCCATGGCCTCCCCACCCTCATAGGGAACAATTTCTCCCCAACATCCCATCTAACCCTGCCCTCTGGCAGTGGGAAGCCATTCCCCCTTGGCCTCTCCCTCCACACCCTTGTCCAAAGTCCCCCTCCTGCTCTCTTGGAGCCCCTTTAGGCACTGGAAGGGGCTCTAAGGTCTTCCCAGAGCCTTCTCTTCAGGTGAACACCCCCAGCTCTCCCAGCCTGGCTCCACAGCAGAGGGGCTCCAGCCCTTGGAGCAGCTCTGTGGCCTCCTCTGGACTTGCTCCAACAGCTCCATGTCCTTCTGCTGTTGGACCCCAGAGTTGGAGGCAGCACTGCAGGGGGGGTCTCACCTGAGTGGGGCAGAATCCTGCCCTCACCTGCTGCCCCTGGTGGGGATGAGCCCAGGACATGGTTGAAGGTGCTCAGTTTGAGGACACTGAGCCAGGGAAGCTCCAGCCCAAATATGTGAGAAAGTCAGATGCTTTGAACAGCAAAAGCCTCCAGGGAGGGAGGCATGAGAACTCCATCCCCTATGGATCCCATGACCTCCATCACACCTTTTCAAAGCAAGGGTGCACTTCCACCCACAGCCCTTCCATCAACACCTGTGCTCTCCCACCAAAGCAGGACAACGGCATCAGGGAAACAGTGCTCTTCCAAACTTGTTTCAAGGCAAAACGGACATGGCCAACCCCCTCCATGTACACAGAGCCATAATCCATCTTATTATGGTCTGGTTTATGAGGGTGAGGACTAGATAGAAGGTAATTTTCATAATGAAGTTCCTCAGTTAAAGAGCTGGGATTAGCAGCACACCAGCCTGGGAAATCAGGCCAACAGCCAAAGGTAAATGAACTAATTCATCCTCCAGTGCATCCCCACCAGAGCACTATGGGGAGACCCTGAATATAAGGGGGTACCAATGGGTCCAGCCTCTGAACTCCAAACCCTTCCCAAAGCTGCAGCATGAGATGCTTGTTTTGCCAGCTACAATGGCAAAGCAAATCCCCAAAATCTCTCTGCTGGCTCCAGACTGACATCTACCCCTCAGTTTTGCTGTCACACTGTCCAAGGTGCAACGGTTTATCCTTCCTCCTCCCCCAAGGCAGATTAGGATGGAAGAGCAAAGGCTCCCAGGAGACAGTGACCTGTGCAGTGAAACAAGCCCTGAACAGAAGCTGCACCTTAACTTGGTACGACAAACGATCCGTATAACTGTGCTAACAAAAGCCTTTCAAGTTGAGGCAAAGCTTTTGATGGAGCAGTGAGTAAGTCCATGCCTCAGTTTTGGGGAGTTCCACTGACAATTATGAACTACATATTCCAAAGGAGAAGCGATGCATTAAGTTGCTGGTATTCACGTGGGAAACCTCGCCAAGCGGATTTCTCAAGGCCTGGCAGTGAGACGCAGCAAATACATGGACAGATTGCAGGCACCAGAGGAGCCCAAAGCGAGCCATCTACAAAGTGATGCATCTGCACACACACCAGACTCTGTGGGCACTCAGGATGTGCCTGATTGTTGTCCCTTTTAGAGCACATGTCTCCTGCTAACAGCTCCTGGTGTAGACCCTACCCAGGATCTGCTCTCACCCTCCACATCCCACATTGTTCTCATCCAATATTCACATTATGCCTTGTTATTGGGGAACTACAGCCCCAGTACCAGATGCTATTATCATCTTTAATTATTTATTTGATTGTTTTACTTGTTTGGAAGCAAAGCTCCTGGCTTCAAACTACAGCCCGGGTGGTTCTTGCTTTTGGGGGGCACCTTCCCTGATCAGATCCACCTGCTCTGACCTGGCAATCTACAGATAAGAAACTTTTCTGCTAGTCTGGGGCTTGCTACTCGCTGCTGAGATGTGCTGAATCTTCAGGAGAACTCTGTATGAATCATGCTGACATCTGACTTCTGGATGCACATAAAACCACAGAATTCTCCCCAAATCTCTTTGGTGCAGCAACCTATCAAGGGAGGAATCAAGATACGGATCAGATCTAGCCCATCCTAACTATTTTTTCCACCCCCAAAGCAGGGAGAAAAAGCTGCATTAATGGTAATTTTTAAATACTTGGACATACAGTTTTGAAAATGCCAGATAATGCTGGCATTAGAACAAAAAGATTTGGTCTCCAGTAAAAACTCTGTGTCTGCAACACAAGAAGGACGTGGAGCTGCTGGAGCAAGTCCAGAGGAGGCCATGGAGATGCTCCAAGGCTGGAGCCCCTCTCTTTTGGAGCCAGGCCGGGAGACTAGGGGTGTTCAGCTGGAGAAGAGAAGCTCCAGGGAGACCTTAGAGCCCCTTCCAGAGCCTAAAGGGGCTTTAGGAGAGCTGGAGAGGGAATTTGGACAAGGGCTGGAGGGAGAGGCCAAGGGGGAATGGCTTCCCACTGCCAGAGGGCAGGGTTAGATGGGATATTGGGAAGGAATTGTTGGCTGTGAAGGTGGGGAGGCCCTGGCCCAGGTTGCCCAGAGCAGCTGTGGCTGTCCCATCCCTGGAAGTGTTGAAGGTCAGGTTGGACAGGGCTTGGAGAAACCTGGGATAGTGGAAGGTGTCCCTGCCCATGGCAGGAGGTTAGAACAAGATGATCATTCACTGTCCCTTCTAACCCAAACCATTCTGCAATTCTATGATCTGCTCTATCCAGAACTTAATGCTTATTTTAGAAAACCCCCCAACTTACTGAAACTGCAATAAGAATTTTACATTAGTTCCTATTTAATTGCATTACTAAATAAGGGTATCAAACAGTGGGAAAAAAAGAGACTTTTGTGGAGGCTTATTTATCCCTACCATGGCTCATGGTTCAGTGTTTGGGAAAAAATTTCCTGTTGCTCCAGCTCCTGAGGCAGCATGAGGTTTGACTTGGCAGATACCAGGGAGCTGCATGATTTGGTGTTGCACAGAGGGCAATGAAATCCCAAATCCATCAGCATCTGACATGGGAATGGCAAACAGGACCCCCTGCTCCCTGCTAGCACCATATTCCTGCTAGTAGGGTGAGCCAGTTGGGAAACCAAAGCCCTCCCAGGCCCCCTCCTCTGCAGCCTGTCTGAAGAAATAGCCACTGGTTAACCCTGTTCCAGATCACAGAATCACTAGGGTTGGAAAAGACCTCCAAGGTCATCAGTCATCAAGTCCAGCCTTCAATTGAATCCCACCATTCCCACTAAATCACATTGTGCAGTGCCACATCTACTCCTTCTCTGAACACTTCCAGGAATGGTGACTCCAACACTTCCCTCAGGAGCCTGTTCTGATGCTCAACCACCCTTTCAGTGAAGAAATATTTTCCCAATATCCAACCTGAATTGCCCCTGGCACAGGCTGTGGCCATTTTCCCCTTTCCTCCTATCAAATGCTGAGTTTTGTGTTCATCTCCCCATCCCATCTCCTCAGTGGGCTTGGATCCGACTGTGCTGCTCCCACATGCTCCAAGAAAGTCATATCCCCGGGGCAATCTGTATTTTTAGGAAGAAAGATCAACCCTGAGGAGGGAGCTGAATATTCACAGCAAACAGCTTCCGTAGGCACGTGCCATCTCCTCCCTGAACAATCAGCTCCTCTGATACACGAGCAGCTTGGAGTGAAAACACAACACCTGAAAACAGAGAAACTCTCCAGGGAATTGGAAAAATCTCCTTTCCCCTTGTTTATCAGGCTTTGCTCTGCCTGTACTACTGGGGTTTAACTTCCCTGAAACCATATTAAAAAAGTCAAAAAGCGGAGGGCACACCATTCATCCTCACAGGAACAAAACTGTTATCAGAGACTTGCATGCTCGGATTTCAGCTTCTCCTTCCCCCCAGACATAATTACCAACAGTCTGTGCAAGAGAAATAGCTGCTATTTGAGCAAACAGGCGTTCTTAAAGGATAGTGACAGGCAAAAAGCAAGAGGAGTTTAAAAAAAAGAGTAATACAGCTCCTGGAAGGACCTTACACTTAACAGTTGTTATCAGTACATGTGGCTCATTGCCCAAATTCTTAGTTAACCAGCATTAACAATACATGTATTATTAAAAACAAAACAGCCACTCACCTAGCAGGTGTTGCATTTCCACAGTTAAAACTTAATTTCTCTGTAAAGTGACTTTTTCAGAAGTGAAATCTCTTCTCCGAAGTACATGCTATGAAACTGTACTTTAATCACAAGCCCAGTAGCACTAAAATTTTGAGAAATGTGAAAAACAATCATGGAAACAGGAGCTGCAGCCACAGCACCACCAGGGGCAGCAGGGGAGGGGGGATTCTGCCCCTCTGCCTCATTCAGGTGAGACCCCCCCCTGCAGAGCTGCCTCCAGCTCTGGGGTCCAACAGCACAAGGACATGGAGCTGCTGGAGCGAGTCCAGAGGAGGTCACCTGGTCTAGTGGAAGGTGTCCCTGCCCATGGCAGGGGGTGGAACACGATGAGCTTTAAGGTCCCTTCCAACCCAAACTATTCTGTGATTCTGTGATTTGGGCACCAGCTGAATAAACCCAAAAGCCCTGTACCTGGAGGGATCCACTACAGCCACTGAACCTCAGCACAGAGCTTGGATTACAAAGCAATTCAACATCTCCCTGGGGATCCTGACATTTGCTGTGGGGGGGGTTGAGAATGCAATAGAGCTTTTAATGTTATGTCACTGTAAGGATCCAAACCTATCTACAGCTGCCAATTATACTCATGTGCAGGAAGACGGGAGTTTCCATCCCTGCCCTTGGTTTCTCTCCACCTCTGGAGTGTTATCTCTGCTCCTGCAAATCAATAAAATGTCTCTGATGTAATGCTGAAACCAAACTACCCGTTTACTGAGACACACCATAAGTGAGCTGGTTAATCTTCACACTGTGGAGAAGCAGCAGTTTGTAGAGATGCAACAACCCAACCTCAGAGTGAGAGACTACACAGATTAATTTAAGATGACATAGATTCCAAGCAGGAATCTACAAAGATACTATCAATAGTTACTTGATATAACCCTTTGGTTACAGGAAACAATACTGGTGCTTCCCCACCTCTTTTAAAACACAACCATTGTTTGGTTAGGACGACTTAAGAGCCCAATGCACTGAGCTCCTGAGTAGTCCTAAACAAACAATGCATTAGTGGAACCATCTGTTTGAGTGACCAGCTGCAAGATGAGGTTAGGAGACCAACAGTCCATGAAAATTCACGGGCTGCTGGGCTGGCTGAGTGGAGCCAGATGGCCAATCCCACGTCCTGCTCTTGCCAGCGAGTCCGACACATGGGACAGAGCAGGGAGACTGGGATGGGGCTGGAATTAGGGCAGTGAGGTTAGAGAAGGATGTGGAATCGAGTCTGAGTGCTTGGAAAGAGTCTCACCTAGCACTTTAAAAGAGTGTTCTAGCTTATGGACAAAAATCTGAGAGCAAGATTTAGCAATTCACACAGTTAAGAAGATTTGTTTTCACCTTAGGCAAGATATTCAGCGCTGAGAACAGTCTTCATTTGTTGGGATTGTTCAAAATTTGCATCTTTGGCCTCTCCAGTGTATTCCCTTTGACTTTATGCAAATCAAAATCATGTTAAGAGTTACATCTTCTGAGTCAGAAGCTTCAGGTAAGGCAGCTCAACACTTGGGAAACGAGACAAGCGCACGCGTTTCTCGAGCCAGGGTAAGTTTTTACATATTTATATTCCAGTGGTGAAATGCTAATTTGCATAATGCAGGCCACTAAAACGGTTACTTCTTACCTAGTCTGAGTTCTCCAAAGTTCCCACACCCAATCTTCTTGCCCACTCTGAAGTTGGGTCCCACCATAAGAACGCCAGAAGATGCCGATGAGCTCGGTCGAGAACTGTGCCCGCTCCTTCCTGGCATTCCCTTCGTCGTCCGCTGCCTTTCATCCTTATCCCTATTAGGATGGTCCATGATCTTAGTGAAATATCTCTGCCAGCAAGCTGGCAGAAAGGATTTGGAGTACACACTCTTCTCCTTAGAACAGAAATTTATATCCAAAAGTATCAGTCAGGGTTCAAGAGAGTCATGGAAACTCATGGAGTTCTTTTGGCACCGGATCCAGTTTCCTAATGCATCTTGATAATGTACCAAGGGGTCGATTATGTTCTTGAGAACTCAATAAAGGCAGGTTACTTTTGGTTTCTTACCTGGAGAAAAGAAAAAGGATATATGAAATAAAAATCATTACTTTAAAACACCAAGAGAGAAAAATACAACAGGGCTAATGTCCAGAACTTTCCCGGCCTGAAGGAATTTAACAGCTATAGGAGAACTTTATCATTTTATTGACAGTTTTCTGATAAAAAGCCCCAACCTTATGAAGAGTTCTCAGTGCTGTCCATCCAGTGCTTGCTCTGTGTTCCCTCCCTGGAAGTGTTCAAGGCCAGGATGAACAAGGCTTGGAGCAACCTGATCTGTCCCTGCCCATGGCATGAGGTGGAATGGGATGAGCTTTAAGGTCCCTTTCAATCCAAACCATTCTGTGATTCCACTGGAGTTTCCAGGACTGATGTCACATCACTAACCAAAGCCATTCCAACAACACCAGAATGTCAGGTGGACACTGAGACACATCCCACCTTTAAAGCCAATGAGAAAAGTTTTTTTTCTTCTCACTTCATATATTTTTAAAGTGTTACGCAAAAGCCAGACAAAAAATACAAAGGGGCCAATGAAAGATGCCAAGAGAAGAAAATTCTGAAGCACTGAAGTAAAATTCTCCTTCTTTTTACCTCTTTCCAAATTGATCTAGAATATCCTGAATAACCTAAGTTGGAAGGGATGCACAAGGACCATCGAAGTCCAACTCCAAATCAACCTCAGATATATTTGCTAATTGAAACCGCTGTATTACAGATATGACCAAAATCAGTAGCCAAAGCAAGATTATTTTGAAAAAGCCAAAAGTTTCCTGAAAGCTACGTTCACACACAGTCCACACTGCTCACAGGATTTAATTATCCCAAAAAATGAGGTGTTGGAAAACCAGACATTCTAATGAAATTGCATAAGGGACTCATGAGCCAAGATCTTGGAAATACAGATAATCACTGAATCACAGACTGGTTTGGGTTGGAAGGGACCTCAAAGGTCATCTCATCTCATTTCAACACCCTGCCATGGGCAGGGACACCTTCCACTAGCAGGTTGCTCAGATCCCCATCTTCTCCAGCAGCCACATCCATGACAGGCAAACCGAAGCCTGACAGTTCCCCCAGAGGAACTGAAATAAACTTTCCTCCCATATGTCCAAACCTGGCATGACCACAACACTGTGGGTGAGCAGCTCTGGAGTACTCCAGTCAGCGACCAACACCCCTCCTGAGCACCTTATAATTCCTGATAACTTAGTCAAAAGGGGACAAGAGACAGATGCTTCTCAACCTCTGCAGGTTCTTCTGTGCTCAGGGACCAGCCCAAAGGAGACAGGCAGGAGCTGTATGGACCCTGCAGGTCCTGTCCCACAGGTGCAGTCCAGGGAGTGCACGGAAGATCAATATTTCACCCTGAGACTGTTCCTAGGACATGAACTCACACTGAGCCATTAGTGCAGCCAAATGGTTCAGCTTGGCCCCATGGCAGCCAGGAGGAAGTTCTACCACTCACACATGAAACTGAAGCCTCTGTAGGAACAGAGGGTCTGAGGGCACCGCCTAGAAGTACCAGTGGCAGTGTGTGAGCTTCCCCAAGCATTTGGCAGGATGAAGGGAAAGGCTGATGGATGCTTTGTCTGTAAGATGCTGCATCAGGAGATGATATCAGGTACTCTGGAGATGCTTGTGATGCAGTTCTCAAAATCTCTCCTCTTTCAGCTTAAGGCCATTCCCTCTTGTCCTGTCACTGCTTGTTCTTGCAAAAAGTCCCTCTCCAGCCTTCCTGTAGGCCCCCTTTAGGCACTGGAATTCTCCCTGTTGCTCTGCACAATGGTGGATCCCTGCAGGAAACATCACACAGCATCTCTGCAGCACATCCAGGAGGTCTGGAAATCACCAGGTCACCTGAGAACCTCTGTGTCACAGCCACACCACTTGTTTGGCCACATCGACCCAAAACCAGAAGTGTCAAGCTCCCAACACGCTCCCGAAACAACGTGTGAAACACCACTTGTGATTCAGCACCACACAGGCCCACACAGGAGAGCTGGAGATGTTCATGTACAAGAAATTATTTCACATAACCAAGCTTTGCTCGTCCCTCCAATTAATTCAAGATTTAATACTTAGAGCTGAATACGGATAAGCAGCAAACGTCCGTTACCAGCAAACTGGATGAACTGCTTTCTCATCAGAGACATCTCCACGTGCTTCAGGTGCCCTGCCCAGTGTAGACACAAGCACAGTTGTGTCTGCCCTGTGGAACCGGCCTGCAGGAGCGCTGAGGAGGCTCTATCAGATATCAGAAAAGCACTTGGGCTGGACCCCACCCCAGGCCATCCCTGGGCTGGTTTCAAAACAAATCCAAACAAAAAAGTTTTTGAAAAGGACAGTTAGTGAAACTACAGAATTTTGCTGTGGAACTGTAACCTAATGTGAAGATGACCTCCAGTAGCTGGTGGATTTAGGTGCTTCTGATAAAATTTAGAAAGCTAAAGCTGGAGTAGGGGAAGTTTTGGTCTTTATCTCTGCTATGGCAAGAGAAGTAGACACAGACCATTGCAGTCAAATGTTGTTTTAACTTTCAGTTAAACTACATCTTCCATGTGATAAAACATATGGGTGTGGTACTTGGAGACATGTCTTAGTGGTTGCCTTGGTAGTGCTGGGGGAACAGTTGGACCCAATGATTTCAGAGGGCTTTTCCATCACAAACAATTCTATGATGATGCTGGAGTGCTTCTAGGGCTGGATCCCTGAGAAAGATGAGCAGAACACAGGAATTCCAGGAGCAAAAAACAGCAGCACTTTGGAAAGCACACTTGATCCCACCAAAGCCAGAGAGGAGGATTTATTTCCCCAGGAAACTAATTATTTTCATCAAGGTTGGATAATCCACGAGCAACAACTCCAGACCTCAGAAAAGGAAACAGAAAGATGTCTCTAGCAAAAGCACACACCCTGCCCAGTTTACCCCTTGCTCAGCACATCTCAGATGGGACAAGCAACTCCGTTTTCCTCAGGCAGGTCCAGAGTTCCACCACGCGTTTTCTGGCTTGTGAAATAAGATGTTACCGGTTATGAGCTCCTACGCCTCCATCCCTCCCCCGTTCCCCATCTGGATGAGGTCTCCCCAGGGAGAAGGATGAAAAGGTCACGTCTGACAGTCTGCAAACACTAAACATCCTCTCTCAGCTGAAAGCCTCTCGCAAACAGGAATTCAGAGCAGTGATGGATGAGTGAACCAAGCGCTCAAGAACCTCTTTATTAGGGCCAAGCCTATGAGCAGAGCCCAGCTCTCAGCACATGGGATCACACACAGATCTCACACTGTGGTTACTATGTGTTTAAAACAACAGCAGTAAATATGGCATCAAGTATGGCCTTGGAGGACTAGCAAAGCACTCAGATTTGGAGGAGGAGAGGCAGAAGAATGAAGACCAGACTGCAACCTGAATTCAGTCTCATTAATATTTAAAGGCTGCTCAGAACACCAGGACGATTTCCTGCCACGATTCAAACTTCTTCATAACGATTTCCCTTCCTACCTTTCCACCCACTCAGCAAGATTGCTCTTCAAAGTTACTTCCATTTGAACAGAGCTGCTTGAAGATACTTTCCTAATGGTGACTCAGCCCAATTCCAGGATTCATTTCACTACAATACAGTTGGAGACACAGGAACAGTTATTTAATGAAAGACACAAGGCTTGAAAGGAAATCACTTGAAGCACAGTTAGCTAAATAAAAACCAACAGCTCTGTGTTCTACACACTTCCAAACACTTAGACCCAAGACCTAAGTCACGACCTCACCTCCATCAATAAAACCGCAGTGTCACAGCTACAAACCAGCTTCGAGATGGTGTTGAATCATAGAACCGTTTGGGTTGGAAAGGACCTTAAAGCTCATCTCATTCCACCCCCTGCCGTGAACAGGGACACCTTCCACTAGACCAGTTTGCTCCAAGCCCTGTCCAACCTGGCCTTGGACATTTCCAGGTAGCACTGGAAGGCAGCTGCTGTTGGTGTTGAGATCAGTAGCACAGTGCAGTGTGAAGGAAGCTTTAATCACTTTACCTCTTCCTTGTTATGGCCCAGACACTGCTCAGAGCCTCCTGGTTTCACAGGGAAGCCCTTCAGTCTGAGAGCAGCCATAGGATAGGACAAGTAAATGAGAGACTGGTGTGAAGAAGTCAAAGACACCCTTGTTCCTACCCTTCCAAGAAGAAGCTCACTTCCCTTGCACTCAAAACTTCTTTGATCTCCTTGAGTTACTCTGGAGACCCTTCTAGGATATGAATGAGAGTTGTCCAACTCTTGGTTTGTGGCATGATTTCAGAAATCTGTCCAGTCTGAAATGGTGAATGGACCCCCTCTACTTCAAATCAAAGCAAGCAGATCTAGACTGGGTCTGTGTGTGGTTTTGATCCATGAAAGAGTCAATACATGCCAGAAATCAAACTGCAAATGCCTGGCAGATGGAGCAACACCCCAACAAGCAGCCCCACAATTCCTTTTTTCTTCTTTTAAGAAGAAGCCTTCAAGAAAGCCCCATTTTCTGTTAGGATGGGTGATGTCACCCTGCTATCTACAGACACAGGACCTCAATTCCTCAAAGCAGCTCCAAGATCATTGCTTTAGGACAAAGTATATGCCTTATCACTGGGTTTTCCAACACCCACCCCATGTGCCTGTGTAATAAGTCTGGTGAGTCTCCTGATCTGGAGAGCACTTTCCAGACAAGATCTGCTACTTCCCACATGACTTCAAAGTCAAAATCCTCCAGGACTCTCAAATGACATGTTATAAACATACGGATGTGAGCTCATCAGCTTCCACCCTCAGACTGTGTAAAAAGTAGAGTCTTCAGCAGCAGAAAACTTTGCTAGCTTTACCACAGATCAGGATAAAGGGCTCATCCTCTGGAAAAGGGACAGCAGGGAACGAGGGTGCAGGGAACAAGGAACATGTGGAAACCAGGACATATATGATGTGTTCACTCACGTTCTCAGCATCTGCCAACTCATTTTATGAGCTTACACCCCTAAATTAA